ATGTAAATCCAGGGGGCACATGCCCCCCTATGCTTCCACAGAGGTGCATGCAGCGGCTGGAGCCACTCCCTGCCCCCCCAGATGAGGCGCCAGCTCCATCCCACATTCTGCCCTTGCTGAACAGCCCCTGCCCCTGCTCCACTCCCTCCCTCACCGTGGGGGCCTCGATCTGCCCCTTCCCTCCACAAACTTACCAGCCAGATGCTGCTCTCCAAGTTGCTGGGCTGTACTCCTGACTGCACATGCAAATGGCATTTATCCATGACATTATCGGCCACATCAGCCAAAGAATGCCGATTGCTGATCATGTCAATTTTTCTTTTATCGGTGCCAGTATGATATGGATTGATGCATCGGTGCATCTCTAATAGAGATAAAGGAGATCACAATGGATGACCCAGAAATGCCCCTCTGAATGTGAGAGAATTGTGCACTCTTAATATACTAGTGATTCTAGTCCTATGCTGAACAATCAAAATAAATGCTAATGTCTTTACTGTCTACCCGTCCTTTAGAAAATAGAGTAAGACCACCAACTGGGCACTTAGATATCATGGTAAGCGCACAGTTTATAAGCCTAGATGGGCAGAATTTTTATCAGCCACTAGATGGCAAGTATTTTAGGCACTGCTGAGCTGAACTTGTCCAGATTTGAATGGGTAACCTAGAGGTTAAAGGCTTTATGTTCCACTATCAATCTCTTGAACTATCTAGTCTATCAAGCAGGTTTATTTTGATTGGTGGCATGAGAATAAATCAGTATTTATACTTCAAGTCTCTGTCTCAAGAATGTAAAGTCAGTACTTTGATTAGATAGGCTGGATGTCTTCTAGTACTGACTAACGCAGGACAAGTCTTGCTAGGGTTAAAATACTTTTGGACCTGAAGTCTAGCCCCTGCCAGTCTTTTTAATCATGAGCCCACAGTGAGATGTATAACTAACCTGTGAGTCTCAGGGTGCAGATCTGTTTGGTTATGGATTTAATGTGTTACTGGTGCAAATGGAAGTGTTCAACATGTTGTAAACCACCTGCGAACAATGTTCCCATTGTGTCTTTTACTTACAACTGCAATTTTTATGCCTTTTTATCTGTTGGAACTCTTGACGGTGTTGATGGCATGGCCATCCTAGTCAGAAATGTATAAAAATCCATTTTTAACAGCATTCTGGTTAAGTTTAATGTTTTAGCTTTTTTTCTTTGTTTTCAAACAGGTAGAGGAGACTATGTCCTCATTAGCTGAGGTGCAGCATTTGAATGGCTTTCTTGATCTCTACAGACAACATATAGTCCAGCTTATGGAATGGGTGTCTGTCTCTCATGATAATTGGACCTGCTATTCTCCAGAATTACTACAGTTAGATATCATTGCCACTCATTCAGGTATGACTTGCAATGTCGTGGCATCTCCCAGGATTTTTAATTTGACAGATGCCATAGATTCTGACCATTCTGTGTTCTGCAGTATAAAATAGAGACACATGAGAAGCAGGATAAATTAGCCCACACAGAGCTCTTTGCAGACTGTTTCCAGCATGCAGGCTAGCTCACCTAGATCTAGGCCAGGTATCTCAACATTACACTGAAGTCTGCTCTATTGACATACCTAGCCTTAGTCATAATGGCAATCTGTTGGTAAAAGAGCTTAATAAAATAGTTCTTTGGCATAGCTGTTATTCAAGTACAGATGTAACTGAAATTTGAACTCAGGTTTGAAATGGCATTGAAAAGAAAAGAATGGAAGAAGAATTAGTTAAGGGGTTTCTCCTTCTCCCAGGGCCAATGCTACATATAGGATAAGGCCTTCTCTGTCATGATTCATCTATCCGTACACTTACGGTCTTTCAAGTCCACTTTTGCCTACTTCCCCCCGTGCTGTATGTATCCAGTAAAACTCACCCTGGACCTATAGGGACAAGTGCCCTTTTATCATCCTAATTTTTTTTTAACCTTCTGGTTCATGTTACCCTCATCTCCCTTCATCTCTAGATGTGCTTCAAGAAGCCTGAGTTCTTTACTTTACTTTTGTTCAGAGATGAACTCCAGTAAAAATTCTGGCCACTCATAGAGGAGAAAAAAAACTATCTAATGCAAGTGCTGAAAGGTTAGCGTGACTGCAATATCCTCCCGTCTTTTCCATGATTGGGAATATCTAGACATTTGTCTATATTCTACTTAACGCAAAGTAAATCATAAAATGTCTGGATAAACATTTTGGCGTTTCCCTATAGTGATGACATGTTGTTGTCTATGTTTTCTGTCTTGTCTGGTACAGCAACTCCTTATAGTGCTATTCTTATTTTCTTTTCATTTCTCCACATAATGTTTCTTTTAATCAATTCAACAAGACTTACTCATTTCCAGTTACCGATTTTTTTATTTGAATTTATGTTGAAATAAGTGGTTCAGATTAGTTTGTTTGTTCATCTATTTAACTTACTATTATCAAAGTATGATATATAGCATTGCTTTAAAAATACTTCAGATTCTCCATAGAGCAGTGCCTCTTGGATAATTGTTATAACAATACGGTCTTATTTATTGGCATGAAAATTTAGCAAGCTATATTTTAGGCCCTGCATTATCTAAGTCTAGACAGCAGAAATTACTATTTTGTTCCAAGTTTAAGACAATGAATTTCCAGATATTTAATGATGTTGAACTTCCCTTGGAACATGAATACTTTGACTGGTCTGTCTTCACATAGCATAAGTGGCAGAATGCTGTTGTGGAAATTTAACAGTTTCATTGGAAGAGGAAAGAAGCGCAAAAGTTTTTAAACGCGACTTACAAAATGAAAAGAATTTGCTTGTTTCATGACCTAGAGATGGTCTGGAATGGTTCTTTTAAATCAGGGGTTGTCAACCGGGGGTATGCGTACCTCTGGGGGTACTTAGAACGGCCCCAGGGGGTACACACGGTGGCTCAGGGAAGCGGTGTGCGGGGGCAGCATGGAGTGGTGAAGGGCAGCAGTGAACTCCCTGCCCTAGCTATTGGCCACTCTGCACCGCCGCCGCCACCATGTGCTGCTTCCCCACCCCCTGCCACCACCATTCACCACTCCGCATCGCTGCTACACGCCACCCACTTCACATCCAGCCAGCTGTCAGCACTCTCCTACCCCCAGTCTGAAAGGGAGCGCACTCCAGAAGGGGGTACAGTCCTTAAAAAAGGTTGAAAACCCCCATTTTAAAGGATTATTTTTGCATTTGTTTTCATTAGAAATATCAAAGTATTGTCAAGCCTGCTTTTGCTGAAGGATTTCCTGAAACACTAGTTTTATTGGAATAAACACCACAGCAGAATAAAACCTGAGCAGCTGCAAAATGGAAGTGGCTTGTAGTCAGGTTGTTTAAAATCTTCTAAATAAGTTTACTTTCATTGACATCTTAGCCACAGTTTTTGTTTGATCCAGACACTCTTGCCCTTTTGGATAAGAGAACTTTCACTGCAGTTCTCTAGTCCTTCCAAAACAGAGGGTAAGATATTAATCATAGAAAATTAGGATTGAAAGGACCTCAGAAGGTCATCTAGTCCAACACCCTGCTCAAAGCAGGACCGACCATCCCCAGCTAGATCATCCCAGCCAAAGCTTGGTCAAGCCAGGTCTTAAAAACGCCAAGGATGCTGCATGTCTGAGCTTTAACACACTTACAAATGAATGAAAAGCTTAGAACCTTTCAGGTCTTTTTAAAGAAGCAACAAAAGCTCAAACATTTTCCCCCTTTTGGCAACATCCCCTTCAAAAATACTGAGTTAAATTGTGGCTATGTATTGTTTGGAATGAAGAAGAGATTAGTGTTTTGGTGTCCTGTTAATAAACAGAAAACTTAATGTGAAAAAGATGAATATTAATTTCAGATCGAATTGCTTTGATTTTTTTAAATTTACATGACTGTTTTGAAAAATGTCTAAGCCTGGCCCTTACAAACAAGCCTTTTTATACACATTTCAGAAACAGGCAATGTTTAGAATGTTCTCTTAGTTACTGCAAGGGAGGCCCCAGAAGGAGAACAAAGGGCGTCTATACACATGCTGGATGTCTGCTCCATTGCATGCTAATTACCGCGCTCCAGCAATCTCTGCGTCACGTGTATTCAGTGACCCCACACTTTAAAATGGCAGCAGGGGTGCTTTAACAAAAGCTTATCAAATGAGGGTTAGTTAAAGTGCCCCCACCACCATTTTGAAGTGTGCAACACTGAATACATGTGACACTGTGGGTGCTTTACTTAGAGCAGCTCTCAGAACTGCTTTAATTAAAGTGCTTCCTCCTGCCACCTGGAGCATGTGTAAAGATGCCCAAAGCATGTGTAAAGATGCCTGCTCTGTATGGATTGATTTCAAGGATCCAGTGGGCAGTTTATCATTGACTTGGGATTCAAAATTTGGCTACTTATCTCAGGCTCCAAGAACAAACCAGTGATCAGGATTTGTTGCCCTGGACTTTGGTCCATTCATGAGGATCTCCCACCACTTAAAGCTATACAATAGGAAAGTTTTCAGCTGTGCTTTCAGGCACAGTTCACTGGAAGCTTTGACAGGTTCCAGGCTTCTTAAAGCAAACCCACTTGTGAACCAATGTATTTCTAATACATTAGATTATACTTCTTCAGAACAAAGTAGAGCACCAGCCTTTTGATTACAGAGTTGAAGGGTTTCTTCCATAGCTGCCCTTCAGCTATGAAGTCCCACCCCCTGATAGGTAGTATGTACCGGCATAGAGTATGTCTGTACTGCACGGTGCACTCTAAGCTAGTTCTGAAGGAGCTTCGTAGTTCCTTGCCATCCTGACTTAACTCCTGACACTTAGGTTGAAGCATATCTATGCTGCATTTTGCAGTGTTCATATCCATGATTACTTTGAATGCCAATTTATCTCTTGCTGGACTTGTATGAGAAATGTTTAACCATTATTTACTGCATTAATACTAAACAGTAATTAGTACAAACAGGATTTCAATGTTTATTTTCTAGGTCCTGTCATTGGCAAAGTTCTTCCCGATTTTATTCTCATCCTAAAGACATGTCTTCAGCCAACCAAAGACCCACAGATGCGTTTAAAGCTTTTTACTATTTTATCCCAGATGCTTGAGAGAGCAAATGAAACCATCAACTCTGAGGGGTAGGTACAGTTGTGATTTCACAGCTGCTGTTTAAACAATACTATATCATTCCAAAATTATGTTCATGGTGGTTAATTAACCTTTCTAATTGTGTTTGTGTAAATATGGGGGAGAGGGGAACTTCATATCCTGAAGTAGAGGTCTCAAATACTTTTTTTTTTTTCGAACCCTGCTCCAAAAGCGGTCTACAGGGTACAGTAGTAAAATAAATAAATAAATAAAAATGCTTAGCCTGTGTTGTTTGTAGAGGTTCCACCATGATGAGTTGTACCGGTAATGATGCAATGGTGGGAGGTTTTCAAAAAAATTGCTGGATTAAAAACACTTAGCATTTCTGTGAAATTTAAAATAGGAAATTTAGGAAAGAAATGGTATTTATTTAGCTGACTGCTACATAAATCATCAGTCTTTGTATCCAGGTAAAAATTTGCAGCTGAGCAACAGAAAGATTTATCATCTACTTTATTTTTAAAAATTTCTAATACAGTATTTAAAAAGGGTTGAATTATATCCTCAGCAAGGAATTATTATGACTCTTTAATGGCTAATGTTGTTTTGTCCTCTTGTGTATCTTTCTCTCTATCACTTACAACATTTTTAATGCCTTAACAGTGAATGTCCACATCCTGCAATGGAATCTACTAACATGGGAACCCTGATGTTCACACAGGGTCCCAGTGAAGTCCATGAGAGTTTGCTTGCTTTGAGAGTCCTTTCTAGCAGATGCAATTGTCGGATCAGGGCCAAAGTGTATAATTAAGATGGCAGCTGATAAAGCCCTCCTTTTGTAACTGAAGGATTGCATGCCATATTTCTAACATGTGCTTACAATAATATACTTTCAGAATATTCAAGGGTCAGCCCTAAATAATCCTGTTGAAGTCAATGGGATTACTTGTTTGATTAAGGACCTCTCACATGAGTGGTACATAGATGGTTAGGCCTTAAGTTTGTAAGTCTTTGTTGTACCCTAAAAGGAAGGAAAAAAGGCCATTTGGAAAGGACTTTTGCTGCTCTGAGATGAGCCCATTTGCTGTAAACTGATGCATTTTTTTTTCTCTGAACTGCATGGTCTAATTTCGAATCCAAGCTTCTTGGGAGCAAGACTGCCTTCTGGTGTGCTTTGTAGCATTTGGAGCACTTTGGATTAATAATGTATTGTAGATTAAATGCTGAAGGCACTGAGCTTGCATTCTGAACTTGAATCCAAAACCATTTACAAAACAAAGTGATTTTAATTACTGACCTACTGAAACTGACTTATGTGGGACTCATTTTTTAATGTGTATACATGTTATATACAAAATAAATTGCATATCTTTAAAGTGGTATAGAAACAGAGAAATGAGACTAACCTAAACTTCCCCCATACTCTAATGTGTAAAGTAATTGATACCTAAATAAAGCGAAGATAAGATTTAATGATGTACATCTGTAAAATGGGGATAATGGTTTTAACCAATTTTGTAAAACTTTTTGATATCTACTGATTATAATGACTGGATATGAGCTAGGTATTCTTGTAATTATGTGCGTGGAACCATGTTACACTTATTTTAAAAACAAGTGATGGCAAATTCTTAACTGAGGGAATTGTATAAAAGGGGGAAAATTTCACTGCATGAAACTGGCTCACCTTTGGCCGATACAGATACATATATGAAGTTCCATTTTTTTATAAAATGTATTCTTTTTATTATACAAACAACAATGAAAATGCTGTACGTAATGCATGAGGAGGTGGTTATCTGATATTCTCAGTTTAGAAGTAACAGTAACATCCTTGTGTCTGAATGCCTGTCTTCTACAAAAAGATGTTCACCTTCTTTTAGTCACATAATAGCATTCGTTATCTAGAAGTAATTTGCTTTTGTTTTTCTTAAACAGTTTAATAGTTCAGATTGAGAGCTTTCAATGGACCTTGTTAAGCATCTCTCGTATAGCCATCTCCTTGCTTTGTCTTACTGTGTGTCAGTATTTTACTTGATTTGCCTCACTTATACCAAATACAAGGCATTTTTTACAATGATTTTTCCCAGGGAACATGGCATTATAGACAGCACAAAGTCTGGAATCTACCATTTTACATTTTGACAGATATTTCTTTAGCCTTTAAAGAAGGTCTTACTAAAAACACAAAAAGCAAGCAGGGGTCACTTAGTACAGACCACCTTGGAACTAAAAGGAAGATTGAAAGGATAATGATCAGCATTTAGGGCTTTGTGGAAACCTTTCATACAGGAAATGACCATTTTCTTTTCAGAAACACAATTAAGTGCCTCAAAATATTCACTTTTGAAACTTTAATTCCAAGTCTCATTTCCAAAGTGTAATTTGTTTGGAGGGGCTGCCTGTCTCTTGTTTATTACTTATTCATAAGTGCCACCTGCTGGCTAAGAAGCAGAAATGGGAACATAATCTCACATGTCTCTGATTGGTATTATAGACTGAAACAGTTAAAAAAAAAAACAAAAAAAAAACCCCAAAGCCAAGCCAAGTGTGTGTTTTTGTCATATAGAATATAGTTTTCCATTTTTGTGTAGAGGGAATAAACACCTGGCTCACTCTCACTAGCAAAGCAGACTATTTACATCTTCTCATTTATATTCCAGTAAGATTATACCCAGAGGATAAACCCATTCTCATAATGGTTTTGTATCCATCCAGCAAGGATAGGTGGCAGTAGTTACATCCCAGAGGCACAACAATCACTACCAGTTCTTACAACCTTGACAGAGCCATTGATGAAATCTTTCCCATGGCTTTTTTTTAAAGCTGTTTGGGGACTAGTGCTCAGCACCAGTGTACACAGTGAGTACCTCCAGATGCATGTTATGTCTTTGTAGGAGTCACTTATTTCACACACAAGGACTCTTGGAGAGGTCAGCAGCAGTTTCTTCTCTTTTTGTTGCAGGAAGGCGTTCTCAGGAGGCTGGTTTCCAAAATCTTTACCCTTTTTCTCATTTTAATATAAACATTGCTTGAGCTAGAGCACATGTGACTATCACCTGCTGCAAGTAGTCTAGCTTTACAGAACTATTTAGTACTGTAGCAGCTCATTCAATAGAAGAGGCAGAAGACAGTGTTAATCTTGATCATGATCAAAGATATTGCGAGTTTCCATATTTGCAACCCAGCGCCAGCAAGACAAACACAGTGCGTGTATGACATGCCATGTACCACCATAAACATGATCAACGTTCCTACCATCAAGAACAAATTTGCACTGATGCTGGTGCCACAAGGAAATCCGACTGAGCTCACATCCTTGAGGGAAATGGCTTCTGAGCTAAAGGGAAGCTGAATTATTCCAGGTCTCATCAAAGCAATTGTTCTTTTCATGTTATATAAGACCCTTCAATGGAGCAAACACTAATGGATCATTGCAGCATTCATGTCAGGTGGTCTTATGTTATCTCCCCCTTACAGGTGGATAAATTGAGACAGAGGAAGGTAAGTGGTTTGCAAAGATAACACAGCAAGTTAGTGGCAGACTGAAATGGGGCAGGGGGAGTCTGGAACCCCTTTTTCCTGAATGTTAGCTATGTGTGCTTGAAGCCCAAATACTTAGCTGGAAAAAGATAAGTAATGAAATGCTGCAATGAAATGTGTAATTATATTATTGATAATGTTATGCTGTGGTCTTTTATTTTATCTATCCTGCTCCCAAGAATGAAAAATTCTCTTTTTTGGCCTGTCAATCTCTTCACCACTTTCTCATGAACCTTTATTTGCTTTCTTATTTCTGGCTTTAGGCAGTTTCTAAGCTACCTTGAGATCGTGTTAAAAGACATGTTGGCTCCTAATCTGCACTGGCATGCTGGAAGAACAGCAGCTGCTATCCGTACCACAGCTATATCATGCCTTTGGGCTCTTATTTATAGTGAAATGCTTTCACCGAAAGAGGTAAACTCCCCCTTCACCATCACATGTATGAGGTTGAAAACCATCAGGAGCACAGAGTAAACACAAACTTACCCTTTAAAAAGAATGTCCTTCAAATGTGTAATGCTTTTCACTGGTCTTTTGATGAATCTCATTGTTAAATTTATAGTAACTTAAAATGCAAGGAGACAGTAAATAACTGAGATGGGCAGGGGGGTGGGGGAGGAATTACGTCCTAACTTAGGACTGAATCTTGCAAGCACTAGGCATTCAACACAGTTCTCACTGTTGTGAAGTGTAGTGGGGCTTTGTGGAGGCTCGAGTCTGTTATTGTATGCAGCATAAGAACCATAGATAGTAAGTCTTAAAGCTGGGACTGCTAACAAGATTGGACCTGTAACTGATCCTTCCGCAGCAGCACCGCTATTAGCAATACATACTTTCACTGTACCATGGCAAAGAAAAACTGCAGTCAACCTTGGAGCCCACAGGTCCATCAGAAAGAGAGCTAAACGAAAGAGCCAGGGAGTGGGGGGGCTAGAGCCAGATGCAAGAACTAAATGGGAGGAAAAGCTAGGCAGCTTGGGATGTTTGAAAGGTGTTGGCAAAATGACCACTTGCGTTGGTAATGCTGTTGTCTTCCACGGTGTTTAGGAGGTGATCAACTGCATTATGGGTGTCTATACATGTGCAATGAGGCTACTCTGACACACTGTAATTACAGTGCGGAGCAGACAGTCATAGACATTAGGGTTGGTAGGGACCTTGGAAAATCATCAAGTCCAGATTAATTGAATCTGCTAGAGCCGTGATAATTACTGCTGTGGTAATTACTGCACTCTAGCATCACGTGTATCAGCATCCCTGGGCTGAAAAATGGTGGCAGGGGCACTTTGACTAAAGCTCATCAAACAAGCTTTAGTTAAAGTGCCCCTGCTGCCATTTTTCAGCCTGGAGGTGCTGAACCATATGACCCTTTGGGCATTTTAGTTAGAGCAGCTCTCAGAGCCGCTATGATTAAAACCCCACCCCTCTGCCCCACCAGAGCACGTCTATAAACACCCTATGATACATGACATTTCACCAGGTAGCAGTCCCTTCCTGTGACAGTCACATTAGAAATACCCCAGTGCTCATGCCTAGGCCTATATTCTCATCACAGTCGCATGCATTTAAACTCAGTAAAGTTCCTCCAGATGCATGCTAATCTAAACTGAGATTTAGAAACATCACCAATAGAAAGAGGGGATGAAAGAAAGAAAAAAAGAAAGAAAGTTTTATCTAGATCTGGTTGGCCTCTCTTTGGGCCATATTATGTTTTGTTTTGGGTTTCTTTCTTATGTATTTCATCTTGTTATGACAATATCCATGGTACAGGTCACACAGAAAATATTGTGGGGCAACATTAGCTTGCAGATTGCAGTAGTATCGCTCCCTCATCCCTCTTATATTTGTTTACATTTAACAAAACTTTTTTCATATATAAACAACTGACATTAAACGTTATTAAAATTACCTTTTGGGTTTTTTTTCTCTGATTAAGCTCTGATTCAGCAATGTGTTTAAGCATATGCTTAACCTCTCGGGTCACAGTGACTTCAAAGAAACTACACAGGTTCTTAAATTATATCACGTGCTTAATATTTTGCTTAATCAGAACTGTGGTATTTTTCCACACTGATGTACAATAACAAATATATACATTAAAACCACAAAAATGTGAGTCAGCAGTGGGTGTGCCATTTTATTAGAGGCCTTTAAATGCTTCCATTTAGCTCATGAGTGCCATCTATTGGTGTGCCAATGTCATTTTTAGCTCCAAAATTCTGGAAGTCTTAGCAAAATGTTTAAAAAGAACAAAAAGAATCAAGTCACCTGAGAGCAAGTTAAACTCTTCCTGTTTACACTAGATTTGCCTGATGTGTTTCCAAAAGTTCTCATCAATTAACTGACTCAACAGCCTATGTTTGAGGGAAATAATAACAGCACATAACCACCACAAATGAAGGATTCTTATATGTAACCACAGCTAAGAATTTGCTTTTTTAAAATAAACCATCAGGATTTCAGACAGACTTAGCAAATTAAGATAACCAATTAGTACTCTGACTTCTGGTGGTTTGTTTGTTTTATTGCAGGTGCATCAAGTAGAAGATGCATTGATGACTCAGGTAATTGCCACAATGGATGAAGATTCTAAAATTACCCGATTAATGGCTTGCCGTATTGTCAACAGTTTTTTAAGTGTCTGTGGGAAGGAGTTTGGTCCAGATAAACTCAATACCATTTATCCTGGTATGATTTGCTTTTGTATTTGTATCCTGGTACAATTTGTATTTTCTGCAAATACTTTTCAAATTTAAAGTAATATTTTCAAATGTTCTGGTGTTATGGAGATGTAAGCAACTCCATAGCTCAAGTTGCCTTTGCAGGGTTTTAGTGTTTTTGATGGTGAAAATTAGTTGATTGTTACATTAAGCACATCAGTCTTGGCCCTTGGATCTTTTATGCAATTTGCACAGCCATTTTTGGCCTTGCTGATGCTAGGAATGTTGAAAGCAGTAATATAAAGGAGTAGGTATCTATTTCATTATCTAGTCCAGATCCTGTGCATAGAGCCAGCATGAGGTCTAAGTTAAGTGAAATAGATATAAGTAACACATAGTTCTTCACATGTAGGCGTTTTTCACCCAGAGTGAATACTGTATTTAGTTGAATCCAAGATGAGGTTTTTTCATTCAACACGGAGGGGAGCCTTGTCTTGGATTTGAGTACAAGGTGAGGCAGCAGGTGGCTGCTACAGCTCTGGCTCAGGTCCTGACCTGGGCTCTGCCTACAGCCACTGCCACCACCCTGCTGCCTGTGTCCCCTGTCCACCTCCACCCCCAACCTTCACAGTTGCATACATACTTAAAATGGAATTACTGGAAGTGTGTAAAATTAAGTCAGTGGAACTCAATAGTGTGTGCAAAGGTAAAACATGCACAGTTTTTTGCAGAATCAGTGCCTTCAGTATCATAGCTGGTCTGAGCCTTGTGGACAGTGAAGGATATCAAGCTAAATAAATAGTGCTCTTGTATGTTTGTCCACTAGATGGAACTTCACTCTATATTGTCCCCTTCTCCAGGCTTGCCTGCTTCTCTGCTGCATCTGTTCCCAAGTAAGGCTGTAAGAATAGTACACATTTTAACTGCAGGGGCGATGGAACAAAAATGCATTATACAAACAGTGGCTACACTGTACTGCTGCTTCTGCTGTTCAGACTGGTGCTGACAGGATACCGTGACAATATTATAAATAGGCTCCATTTCTAGGAGTAATGTTCTAGATTAGCAGTCCTCAGTCTTGGCCTGTGGGCCAGATCCAGCCCATGAAGCTATGTTGTCCGGCTTGTGGGTCTCCCCACACATCAGGGAAGCCAGTGAGCAGTGATAATGTTAAATTGTCACTTCCCCACTGTCAGATTCTCAGACCAGTGGGGAGCCTTGCAGGCAAAGTGATGTGGCCCTGTATGCTAGATCACACTGGCATGCGGCATAACACCAATGAGAAGTGTTGGGCAGCCCACAGCAAGGTCCAGCATGCAGTGTGTCAAGCCAGTGTGCAGTCTAACTCAACATACCAACCTCACACGGGATCAGACCTTCATACTGCCCCTGTGTTTGTGGGGCCAGAGGTTGAGCACCATGGTTCTAGATTAGAAAATCATGTAGGTATGAAAGCCACCAAAGAGATATTGATGGTGTGCATTTGTATTAAGAATTAGTTATCACGCAACTGCATACAGTCAAGTGCAATTTGTTATCTATCTACAGATTTTATATATTACCTATGAGCATAGCATGTTTGGGCTGAGCAGTCTGTGTTGGGTAAGAAGAAAGATTGGTTTAAATATGTATAAAACCAAATAAGCCTCTCAAGCAGGGAATCAAGCCTGATCATTAGTGTAATAGGCACGTAGTACAGCAGGAACTTAACAAGTTAAGATTCTCACGTTAGAGGTGTAAGTAATCGTTGCAGTCACTAACCAAGCATCAGAAGATGTCCTCTTCACATCCTACTCAGTTTTAGCACCATACATATTCAGATGATCTCTAGTGCAAAGTGTTTTAACTGTATAATATCGGGTAAAAACTTAAATATGTAACAGAAATTCTCTGCTGAAATGAGACTGTAATGGTTCAAGTTTTAAAGTCCCATCTGTGTTTTTTGTAATGCTTTAGTAAATATTAGGAATATGTTTATAGATTTGATGTTAGGAAAAATTCAATTAAATCTAAGTCATTTCATAAATGCCTTAACTCATTTTATTCAGTGTAACTAAACTTCACATTTTAAAGCACAATCCAATAATATTTGAAGTTTTTATGTTCGGGTTAGAAAAACATTTGTTTGGAAGATTTTAGACCAAGATGATCCTGCCTTGAGCAAAGGGTTGGACTAAATGATCTCCTGAGGTCGTTTTCAGCCCTATTTTATTATGAATGCTTATTAGGTAAATTTATATTTCATGTAGTGCAGCTCATTAAAGGTAACAAAAGCAATGTTATGAACATAATAATGATTGTTATGCTTTAATAATTATGAAATACATTTTATTTTAAAATTAATTTAAAGAACAAGATATTGTTTCAAGTTTTAATTTTTATGATTTTTGCCTTGTTTGTCTTATTTCACTATGCAAACCTTTCTTTTTAGAAATCTTAAAGCGGCTAGATGATGTTTCACATGATGTCCGACTGGCAGCTGCTGAGACTTTAATTAGCTGGTTTAAATGCATAGGAGACGGTGATGGGAAAAGTGTACTTAAAAGCAATATTGAGTTTCTTTACCGAGAATTACTGATTCATTTGGATGACCCTGATCAAAACATCCAACAGGCAGTCTTAGGTAAGATTTTAAATGGTCTGTAATTTTAAGACTGTTTTTTCAGATAAAAACATGAAGTACAGTTGTAACTCTTCTATAAAAATAGTGCATACAGCTGGGGACTAGGGCTAGTGCATAAGAATTAATAGAAGTTTCTCTATGGATTTCAGCTGGCACAGGACCAGGCCTTTATTTGAATAATGTAGCAAATTAGATTGAGAGATACATTTAGCATATGTGGGCAAAGCCATCAGTGTTTTGGTCTATCTAGAGATTAGATAAATTAAGGGGTTGTCAGTCACTCCCTCAGATCTGGCAGTAGTTACGAGTCACTGCAAGATACTATCATGCAATAGCTTGTTTAAAAGCCTCTGTCAAATAATTGATAGTTTCAGTCCATGTTCAAACAGGCTAATATCAATAGTGCAAATACAAACAAAAGGAGAAGAGTAAAATGATTATGAGAACTTACTCTCCCTCATTGATTACGTCCGTTCAGGTCAGATTTCAGGCAGTTTGATAGAGCATGGGGTAGAGGAGGACAGAATATTTGATAATTAATTATAAAACTCTGTTCTTCTTCACAGAAGTTTTAAAAGAAGGAAGTGATTTATGTCCTGATTTGCTTGTGAAAGAAATTGAAGTAGTTGTACATAAACATCGAACTCCAGTCTACTGCAATCAACTTCTACAGCACATTCAGTCAAAAAGGAAATAGGGTATCTGAGCCAATGTCAGCACTGTTTCTAGAGCACCCAGCATCCAGTTTACATGAGCTGGAATTGCCATGTTTTAATCTGTACAATAAAATGGGCTGAGTGATAAAGGTAATGCTCTTCTGTAAATTTAATTACCTTCTGTAAAAGTTAAATTGACAATTCTACACCTCAGATTGCTGTTTCAGCCACCCTTTACATATTTTAAAATTAATTCAATAATATAAAATATTTGGGATACAAGCTATCTGTAAATTTATTTGACAGTGCTGACAGTTGAGAGAGATTCCTTATTTAAACAAACTAATTTCTTTATAATGGATGCTTAACCCTAAACCTAGACTATTTTAATACAGTTCTGCTAAGCGTTAGCCATATTATAAAGCAGATTAAGGATTATGTTTGAAAGAAAAATAGTGCTGCATTGTTACAAAATATAGTTGGATCAGCAGTATTTCTATTTTTGTATTATAATTTGCAATTTTTATTGTTATAATTAACAGAGTAGTGCCTTGGAATGCAAACAATGTTGTATTCCAACATTGTGTTGAGTTAATCTGGTTTTAGTTAACAGATTTTTTTAAGATTTCTTTTAGCATCTTGTGTCTTTCTGAATTTACAGAATTTTGAGCTCTTTAATAAAACTTCATTTACAGTATCCTCTCTATTCCTGTCTGTGAATTATAAAAGAGCAGTGTTTATTTTCCGTGATTTGAAATTAAGGTAAAGTTGAAAGATCACAGAAAACCAGGTCCATCATTTCTTAAAAAGTCCCTGCTGTTGACTGAATGTTTTAGTCTCTTCATCCAAATGGCTTGGCTTACATGCACCAAGTTTGTATGTTTGCACTGGCCTTACAGAACAGAGGTATCCCTATTACTGATATTTTGGAATAGATTGGAAGGAGAGACTGGGAAGGAAGCAGTGGGTAGCATGAAAACGACAAAGATTAGAAAAGCCTGTGTGTGGACGCATACACTTTTCACCTACTGTAAACAAGGAAAGAGTTAGCAGGGAGGTCTTCAGAGCAAGGATAAAATTCAGGGGTGTCAAACTCATCTGGCCCTCTAGCTCCACAAGCCAGACAAGTGATGTGGGTACAGTCCATGGACCAGATGAATGGTGTGTGGCCAGTAGGGTTGTGTGAAAGGCATTGTTCCGTTCCAACTTCAGTTTTGAGGTCTGTACAGAACAGTGTTTTGTATCAAATATAATTTCAAGTCAAAACAGCCTCACTATTTTGCTTCGTTGAAACAGTGAGGCTGTTTGACGCTGTTTCTACCATTTCACCGGACCATGGGGCTGGGGAAAGGAACTCAGCCAAGATGGTGAGCCCAGGAACTCACCATCCCCCCGCTAGATCAGGCTGGGGGCAGGGAAGCAGCCCAGCTGGGCTGACTCCCTGACCCCTGCTGGATCCTGAGCCGGGGATGGGAAGTCAGCCCAGCTGGACTGACTTCCCATCCCCAGCGCTATGGTTGAAACGTTTCGTAGTTTCATAGTTTCTAGGGTCGGAAGGGACCTGAGAAGATCATCTAGTCCGACCCCCTGCCATGGCAGGAAAGAGTACTGGGGTTAAATGACCCCAGCAAGGTCATCTAACCTCTTCTTAAAAAACCCCAGGGTAGGAGCCTGCACCACCTCCCTTGGAAGTTGGTTCCAGACCCTAGCCACCCTGACCGTGAAATAGCGCCTTCTGATGTCTAACCTAAATCTACCCTCTGCCAGCTTGTG